TTCTATCGTACCTAGACTTTATGAATTTAAGTGCAGTACTAGATTGGCGGCAAGGTCTCATTATTTTAAATGGCTAGATGAAGCAGCAACTTTTATGCTAAAGGTTTTGTCTATCGCACTTCTCGCTTGTAGAACTCTCTTCCAGCTTCTTGCTTCACAGTCAACTTTGACCTTCCAAAATTTAAATGCAATGTAAATCGTTATCTCTTCTCTTCTTATTTCTAATTCTTTTATTGTCCTCTCCTCAACAGTAGTTTTTTTGTCTCATATTCTTTAATTCACAGAAACCGCCTTACGTCCTAAAGACTTTATTGCCTTGCTTGGGGTCAAATAATTTAAAAAAAAATTCTGGTAAATGATAAAAATGAAAATGAAAAATCCCTTAGTCCTGATAAATTTTCTATTTTTGCGTATTTACTTAAACCATTAAAATTTTGTCCTCGAATACGCGTAAACCTAAATTAAGTCATTAATGTAAGTTTCCTGAATCTTACTTATTATAAAACGCAGATTGTGTGTGTGTCTGTACGTTTATATATTGGATCGGATTTCCTACATTTTTCAACCGATTTCAATAAAACTTCACATGACTACGTAAAATTACCTTGCGGTGGTTCTGACAGCGCCAAAAAGTGGGAAAACACAATTGAAAACACGATAAAACACGATTCTGTCGCCAGAATGAAAGGGGGACAACTCATATCGAGTTATACTTATTATAAAACCTAGGTTGTTTGTGTGTGTGTGTCTGTGTTCGTTTATATATGGGATCGGATTTCCTACATTTTTCAACCTATTTCAACAAAACTTCACTTTTTGGGTGCGGGGTGGGCAGGTAGTGTTTCTTATTGTCTTGCACACTTTTTTCTTTATGTTTACATTCAGAATGCTTTAAAAATTCCATTTGCAAGACAATTGTTTATAATAAAATTCTATTCAATCGATAGACTCATAACGATTGTAAACAATGTTTTTGTTTGAGTTTGGGTTTGACTAATTCGTAAAAAAAAAAAAAAAAAAAAAAAACTAATTAAGACATGTGTGTCCGTCAACCTTAAACAATAATCTTTGTCAATTTTATTTTTCAGTCTTTATGATGGTCGATACTTGATCTATCTCTTACTGTTACATTCCCGAGCAACGCCGGGCTCTACCGCTAGTTGTTAATAAATTTAGGATAGGGTTATACCTGATGGATATTTAAAAAAAAAAAAAAAAAGTAAAAAGATAAATATTCGTCCCGACTCGTTTATTTGAAACGCAACTGTAGAAATATACTTTCCAGAAACTGAGTAAAGTATTAAGGGATCAGAAAATATCCTCAGAAAGAAAACTGCCGGGCTGCTTTGCTATGCAACAGGATGTGGCATTGAACGGGACATGTGAAAAACGAGCAATTTTTATTGATTGATAATATTTTCTGACTTTAAATAACCTGCAAAAGGTTGATAAGCCTTAAAAAAAACAAAGAAATCAGTCGATCGATAGAACGAGCACACAGACATGTTCACACAAAAAAGCAACAAGCTAGCGGCGAAAATAAGCACACGAAACAAAGACATGAAGACGGCATTCTTTTTTTGTAGGGGACACAATCACTCTGTGAACAATGGCATTGAATATGACAAAAAAAACCCTACTACGTTGACAACATAGATAAAGATATCATAAAAATCAATGAAGAAGAATATTAAAAAAAAATTCAGTGTTTGGTTAGTCTGATTGATTGACTGATTTGTTTTCTACGGCTTATCAACACTTTGTAGGCTATTTACAGCCAGGATATATTTCTAGATTTGAAGAACTTTTTTTTTTAGATAATAATGGCTTAGTGATACATTTCTTACTAATTAACCCATAGCTGGGAGGAGAAGAGGTGAATTCATACCTTTCCCAAGGTTATTTGTGCGTAAGTGAAAATAGTGTATCCAACCGGAATTTGAACTCGGCTCTCCGATTAACAATTCCGAACCATTATCCATTACACCAGCTGCACATCCAAGATTACAGCAGGTGGTATTCCCAAACGGTCACCCATCTAGGTACCTACCAGACTCGATGTTGCTTAACCGTGTTGGATATTACATAGCAAACGAGGACCTTTTTCACTGTAATGAATTTTCATTTCTTTAGTACTTTACTCAGTTTTTGAAAAGCGTAGCTCTTTTTCCTTTGGGTTTAAAAATTGACGGACCCGTACAATTGTTCTTTTGTGGAGAAAAACCCACTCGGAATATCCCTGTTGTTAAATACTTAAGAAATGGTCCCCGATTTCATTTCAGTACAAAAAATTGAAAAAAAAAAAAAAACTAAAAAAACACAGCCACCTATTTTATTCCAACTACCTCGTCTATTTGAAACTGAAGCGTTCTTGAAGAGTCCGAGGAAATAGATGGCCAAACAAAGGCCACAAAAACGAAGACGAGTAGAAAAGATTAGTTAGAAGGACGGGAAATAGTGGAGAGCCATGATCTCCAACGTCCTGAAAAGAATATGAAACAGTGACTGAAAAGAGAGAGTGTTGGTTGATTGAGCAACATCGTTAATCTAGCAAGGATTTGGGACTATGGATACCGGAAAATCGATTCTGAGCCTGTACTTTGATACACCTGTCGGACTCTTCTCGTGATACCCTATCCGAAACAAGAGTGAGTTTTAGTTAAATTGCACTGACTTTACCTGTAACCGATCAAGGAAAAAAAGGATCAAATTGTGGCGTGATTGGCAGAACTGAGTTGCAAGTCGATCAGAAGACACGCAGCAAATCGTTGGAGGCGTTGATCAAGCGTGAATTCTCATGACTCAGTAAATGTTCACTGAGGTGCGTTTTTAATGCATCGATTTAATCAAATTGCTTCTCAACACGTTTTTCTTCAAAAAAAAAAAAAAAGAACTTCAAAAACCAAATAAAAAAAAAACGAAATGTACTCTCAAATTAAGCAAGAAAATGCATTGCTTTTGATTTTATGCTGATAATCCTAACTGAAATTACCAATTTTTTTTACATATCCAGAAGTCTACCATTACTTTGAGTATTGCAACGACATCTGCTCTGTTGCTCCTGCTATATATTTAGATATACTTGATAAAAGCCAAAGAAGAATCAGTAATGTTATTGGGCCTGACCTCGGCTTCATTACAGCTCGTCATTTCAACTGTAAAATAATGAGACCTTGTTGTTAATCTAATACTGCGCTTAAATTTATAAAACCTAGGTAGCATAGAGAAGAATTCATCAGAACAATTACCATGAAAACATTATAGAAAAGGCAGAGGGAAGCCTCATTACGGGAGTGGAGAAAGTAGCTAAAGCTGAGATGCTAGGTCAGAGCCAATAACATTGCTGATTCTTTAATTTTTATCGAAGATCTCTAATTATATCACAGGACCAACAGACCATATGCGGCATCAATATTCTAAACATGGACGAACCTTAAACCCGAGAAGATGCAATGTATAGAGTTCTTTTTCGACTAGTTGGGCTTGGAATATTTCGCATTTTTTTGTGACCCTCCGTAGCCGGGTGATCTAAAGCACACCAAACCCAAATACCCCAAAACCAAATCTGAGTAATTTCTTTGCTTCAAATAAGACCCTTAATTATTCTATATTTTGTTTCTCTTAGTAATCTTTTAACCCTCCATCCCCCCTTTTCTCCCTGTTCTGCCATCGATACACACAAGATCGTTAAGTTGGTTACTCGCAGTCTTCCGTTACTTCACTTGCTTTCACCATGTCATGTGAGTGTTAAATTATTCTAGGCCCGCATTCCTCATTATGCGCCCCAGAAATTTCAGTTGTCTCTTTCCGATTGTAAGTATACGTTTTATTGTTGTTCCTATTCTCTTTGAAACTTCCTCATTACTCATTTGTTCTGTCTATGGTATTCCTAGAACCATCGCTAGAATCGTCGGTAGAACCACATCGATGTTGCTTTAAGTCTTTTCATCTGTGAAGAAATTGTCCAGCATAAGCGATAAGATATCAGTCCATCATGCAGTTGTTTTTCTTTCTAACGATATTTTCCTACCTCTTGATACTTTGCTTACTTTCTGAAAGGCATCTTTCGCTATTTTTATAAAGCTTCGAATTTTTGTGTCACGTATTTAGTCATCTGATTACAACACTGCCTAGATAGTGGAGTTTCTGTATCTGCTTGATTTTGACATCCCCAGTACTTATTTCATACCTTGGTGTGGCTCTTTTGCTGAAAAATATTCAACCAGTTTTCATGCATTTAATAGTTAGTCCTTTCTTCTTGCTTTTCCGTTACTACTTTGTCTAAGAGTTCTTTCAGTCTTCTTTCTGAGTTTGTCATTTTCTTATCCTATGTTTGTAAGATTATAATCATCCCTGGTAGGTATTTTTGTTCTTTCAGGATCGTCTTGCTGTTTACATTGAAAAAGAATTTTTGTCTTACCTTTATATCTTACTAGTTTTAAGCCGGGAAAATTTCATGGTTTTCGTATTCTCCTTTTCTGATGAATTATAATTCTTCAGTTAATGATTGAATAAGCTCATAGCGAGTTCTATGACAATAAAATATCCGTAGAAAGTCACTTATCACATCGTTAAATATTTGAGCTTATCAACTTTAATAAAATCTTGCAATAACAATTATAAATATGAATGCTGGTCATTATTTTAAGAAGTAAGGGGGTACAAATGAAAAGATATAGAATTGAAAACTTTTTTCCGTCGCACTGAAACAGCTGTTAAACCCTTTTATCATCTTTTATTCTTTTTTCTTTTCCTTCCTTCCTTCCTTCCTTCCTTCCTTCCTTCCTTCCTTCCTTCCTTCCTTCCTTCCTTCCTTCCTTCCTTCTTTCTTTCGCTCAAACAAGTAGCGTATAAACAGTTCATTATTTATGAGGTACTGACAGAAGACGTTAAAGAAAACTATCTTCCCTTCTCTCGTTCTTTCTTTCATTTTCTCACTGAAACCAAGTAGTGTCTTTTCCTCTCTTTCCAGGGGTTCAAAACAGAGTAGTCCATTATTTATGAGGTATTGGCAGAAGACGTTAAACACTTTTATCTTTCCTTTTTTCGTTCATTCCTTCCTTCTTTCTTTCCCTCTTTCTTTCTTTCTTTCTTTCTTTCTTTCTTTCTTTCTTTCTTTCTTTCTTTCTTTCTTTTTGTAACTGATACCAACTAGTGGACTTTTCCCCTCTTTCCGCCCGATCAAAACGGAACAGTCCATTATTTATGAGGTACTGGCAGGGCGTAATGGTCGTGCAAACTAACGAAGGGGTGGGTGGGAATATTCATTATATTCACCGTCGAAAGAGGACTTTAATCATAAGTTGTTTACTTTCATCGCCACAGAAAATAAAGTGCTTATGAAGGCATAATCTTGTAGAGTTACAATTTTGGGGGCCTCTTTTGTCCCGTCCGGGCGATACGAAAATTATAAGAAAAACATGAACTCCAGGAAGCAATAAAAAGTGTCGCCTTTCTCTAACATATCACTTTCCGTTACAAACAAAAACCTTCTGCTTTTTGTGCAGACCCTGTCAAAATTATCCCCTCAGAGCAGTCAATATTTTGCTTAGCAAGACGCAAACATTACTTTTTACCATAAAACAATAGAATACAACGAATCTGTCGCAGATTTTTCCCATGAGGCAACGGCTGTAGCAGTCTAATATCAAACATATGTTTCAAGACATTCTTTAGCCAGAAATAACAATTTAGCATCATGTTGTTTGCGTTGAGAACATTCCTGTCTCCAAGCTGAAGGCCTCCAAACATCCAATTCTCTCTAAAAACATTAATGTGGAAGAAAGAAACAAGCCTCAGTGGAAGGCCTAGTTTAATTCCGTTACTCCCCCCACCCTTTGAGTTGAACAATGAATAAGCAAAAACCATTACGGCGACCTTTTGAGGTTAGCTTTTGTGTAGAACTGCGGAAATGTCTTTTGCGAAATTCCTCGAAGAGGGAGCGGTAATGGAGGTACTTTTAAACATTTCTTGTTGCCAGTCATTTCGGCTTTGCTGAAAATAAGAACCTTGATTTTCCAAACAGCATGCCGGGTGTAACAGCAAAAATGTCCAAAATCGTGTAAAAGCAAAACTGTTGATTTGTTAGATTAAGCTCTGAATCGTTGTATCTTAGAAATGATTAAAGATATTTTATTGGAATTCTCCGACGTTTTTATAACACTGTTGGACTCTACTTTGAGCAATTAGAATGCATAATTACTCTTCAAGCTTAACAGAAGGATCGTGATGAAATCGATCATAAACGAAAATTATTCGTTCATTAGTAATTAATTATAAGCTAAGGATCGGAAGCTTATAAAGGAGTGAAATTGAGTTCACACACACACAAATATATATATATATATATATATTATTCCAGGATAATTTTCCAACTAATTCAAAATTATCCTCACCATCTCTAACCTAACTTTCTCTCTAGGAGTAACAAAGTGCCTCACAGGTTTCCCGTACGATTTCATTTTCATGTCTTTTTTCACTACTCTTGGACTGTCATAGCTGAAAATTCTCTCATGTGCAAAACGTTTACGAAATGAGTTGGATCTTTTCTAATTGATCTCTTTATCTCTAAGTTGAAATGATGATCCCTCTTCCTGTTGTGACCTCCTGATCCAGTTTTCCTCTCTACTGTTCCCTCTTTTAAAAACTTATTCACCGTTCTCTTGATGGTTCTTGAACAGACTTTGAAGATGGAAGTCAGAGTATGAATGTTGGTACCATTACGAAAAGCCTGAAAAAAGAAAATGAAAATAATTCTTGTAAAAATTCATTATTCATCAGATTTTTTTCTTAAACAACAGTGTCCATAATTTTATCTTATTTAGAAAAGCAATTAAAAAGAAAAATTAAAATAATGTCTTAGTTTTATTGCATTTTTATTTTACGATTCAGAGAATATTCTAAGCAACTGGGCGTTCGGTTTTACAAAAAATAAAATTGATGATTTAAATTCTCCAAGGTGTTATGCATATAACTAATATTGTTAAAAAACAACGCATCCTATTGGAAGCCGGGTACAATAGAGAAACGAATCGGGAACGTGATTTACATCATTCAGGGTCCGAAGTTCTCGCATAAAAGGCACTTAAATCAGATCAGAAAGATGCTGTTAGAGGATTCTAACGGTCTACCTCAGGAAGAGGAGGAAGGAATTGACACAATATTTGACCCATTCAATATGCAAAGGCTGCAAGCAATTTCAGAACCACGGAAATCAAGCAGGAAAAGAAAATTTACAGAGCCTTTGATGATTGATTTGAAGAGGAAAAAATATTAAAGACCCTTGCGAAGTAAAAGCTTGGGAAGGGGATGTCATGGGTCCTTACCTATAATTACAGAATGAACTCTTCCTAACACTATGTATACTACGCCTCTCAAGAGAGAGGGTCGAATCGTGTCGAGCCGATAGTAGTTCAGTCCAACCCAGACTGACAGTCATACTAACATCTTCCACATGTATTATTATTTCGTGTAATATACCTTCGTTATTTCTATTCTTGGTCCTAACTTGCACCATAACAAATATAAACAATAAACGGTACAAAAATGAATTTCTCGAAATTTCATGAAATTAAATAAGTGGGCGGTAACGGATGTAAAAAATAAAAAAAATGTTTTTTTTACCAAGATTTTCGAAGACAAAGAAACATTTTTAAAATAATTGAATTCATTTGTGGAGAAGTCCAGAAACTTTTCATTAAAATCTGACAATTATTTGATTTTTGCGAGAATTTCCAAATCAATATGTTATTCATTTTGACGATAAAACTTTATTTCTTATTAAGTTTGAGACATATTTCATCATGGTATGTTCATTTTGTAGTGAATCTGAGGAGACACACACACACAGACACACACATACACACACAAACACACACACAACCATATATATTATAATTATTATTTAAAAATGCTCTACTGTATATCTGTTTTTAAAAATAAATGCTAAAGAACTCTGGATTATAAATCTAATTGCTCTTTCTTTTATTTTTTTTATATATATATATATATATATATATATATATATATATATATATATATATATATATATATATATATATATATATATATATATATATATATATATATATATATATATATCATTCTAGCCCGCTGAAATTCTTAGGGCGAAAAGCGTCACACGAAAACTTTTTTCCACTTTGTCATACATCTTTCATCCAAAATTGTTCTTGGCATATAAATATTTATATATCGTTGTCCCGTATATATATAAATATATATATATATATATATATATATAGAGAGAGAGAGAGAGAGAGAGAAAGAGAGAGAGAGAGAGTTAGGTAAATCAAATAACGAGATATTAGCGACACTATCCGTGCGTCCTGGCTTGCATACAAAGTTAAGCAAATAAATAATTACGAAATTTAGCCATGAGGTGTAAGCATAATAGTGCTTAATGTGGTTAGATAGATCTAAGAAACATATATTAAGAAATATACATATACCTACGGTTGGTGTGCAACTTAAGTTTCGTTGGTTACCCAACTCATCGGGTACAAAATATCAAGATGTTTATTAATTGTTATGGGATCTTACACATAATAATAATAATGGACTATTTCATACTTAATAAATACTGCGCCTCAGGAGTCAGTAGTTCAAGTCGAGTCAAGAGTCGTGTCAAGAGTCGAGTCAGAGGCAGACCGAAACAGAGTCGCGTTCAGACAGTTACTGCAAGACATTGGAATAGTGATACTGGTCGAGACTACATTGTTGTCTCTACTAAACCTGATTGTTCATACTAACACTTCTACTTCTCTGTATATATTCCTGTTTGTAATATATATGTGTTATTCTATACCTGTGTTCGAGTTCTTCCTTACTGGTTCTACCTTGGACTACCACCGTGGTAAAAGGAACTGGACCATAACATTAATATATATATATATATATATATATATATATATATATATATATATATATATATATGAACTGGATTAAATCCGAAAAATATTATTTTAATATACTTTCTGTTTACACTGTTTACATTATTCGGACTATTGTCCTCATCTTTGTCGCCATATTTATTACAACGTTTCGGTGAGAGAAAAGGGAGATCACCACCCTCTGTGGGATCAACTTTGAGATCATAGACAAAGAACACCATTGGAAAATTCGTAAACTTAAGGAATCAGTACATATGCTAGGCCACAAAAATCTCCTGAGCCGACCAAGCATAGAAATGAATACAATATATGAACCAGTAATAATGATTGCCAGAGAAAAGCGATAATAACAACAAAAATTCCAATATGAGTACTGGTAAAAAATGTTCGCTGAAGACATTACGTTTATAATACCCAGAAATTCATACACATACACAGATGTCCTAAAGGACACATGACACAGTGGATAAAAGCGTTAGTTAGATCCAGTGATAGGACCCAGAGTGTGAGTTCAATACCCGGTTAAGGCGGTGGAGAACTTGGAGAGGGGAATTAACAGGAGATAACTGATAACTGACATCCATTAAACATGGCACTATAACAGTCTACCCCAGTGAGTGAAATAAAGGGTTCAGTTCGACATCCCAAGAAGAAGGCCGGAGCGTACAACGACCGAAACGTTGTAATAAATATGGCGACAAAGATAAGGACAGTAGTCCGAATAATGTAAATAGTGTACATAATACCTCATCTCAGAAATATAGACAGATATTTTCTGTTTATACGTTATTTTTATGGATGCAACATTTTTGAGTAAATGCACTGTTTTTTTTTTTAATTAAACAGTATTAATTGTAACGGCCTGATTGTTCGAGAAATTGCGTAGAAAATATGCGTTCTCCGACAGGAATCGAACATGTATCCCATACGGAAACCGTCCTTTCTTCCTGGCGTGCCGTTAACCATACAGCTAAATCTAGTTAGCAAAGCTCAAATGAATCCATTTAATATATGTTGTCATTGTTTACGTTAGGTTACGTCTCAGAATAGAAAAGATATATCGAGGAAATCTGTCAGACGAATTCGTTACATTAGCTTTCCCGTAAATACTCTGGGAAAACATGTCTTCTCCCCATAGATATGTTTTAAATAGTTGGGCACACTGCACTCAGCCTCCAATGATACATATATATATATATATATATATATATATATATATATATATATATATATTCTGTCGTACTCTATATATGTGTGTGTGTGTATGTGTGTGTTTAGTCGGTTTTTTTGTTGAATATGACACACAAGGAATATTTTGTAAGTTTCTTTGTTTTTGCTTGTGTCTTTACAACGTACTTTTTTTTTACGACGGCTAAGTATGTGTAAGCACCCGTAATAAAAAACAAAAGAATCACACTTAACATCAGTTGTTCCGGCTGGATCCAAAGCATATATTTGTATTTTGGATACTAAGTAAACTACACTTACGCAACATAGTATACGAGTCTAAAACAAAACATACTAACATCGAAAATTAATCCCCACCCTAAGAGTGACTAAAAATAAACTAAATAATGATTTAGTCATCAGAAAAGAAAAAAAATGTAAGGACACTAGAGAAAATAATAAAAACACACATTATTCCTTTTCCGTCATATTCAACATAACATGTATGAAAGAAGAATTGCTACGTCCACAGGGTTTAATCAGCCTAATTCCCATCATATTCTGTTGGTAAGAAAGAAGTTCCACTTAGACAGCAACTATCCAAGAACGTGTACTTTATGGAACAGATGTTTCCCCGAAACTAACCTCTCCAAGTTTAGGGTAAATTTCATTGTTTTTACTATGGAAATAACTTTTCTCACACATTTGATTTGTGGAATTCTCCCCTGGTTTCTTGATTTCATATAACCTAGGCTTTTCAAAAGTTTAAATGCAACATCGATCATTATTAATGATTTGCAAGCAACGCACTCTCCACGACTTCTTAGTGTATATATATATATATATATATATATATCTGTAACGAAAATCTTGGTAATCCGTATGGATAGTCCCAAGATGGATGAAATCCTGAGAGCTCAATGTTAAGGCTGAGCGAATAATTTAATTAAAAAAAAACAGACCACGTTAAGGCTCCATTACTTATAATTTATTTCACCAGAAATTTTATTTTTCTGGATCTTCAATTTCACTTTCAAGGTGAAACGAAAATGAATTTAAAAAAATTTAAATTAATTTTCGTTCATCTTTGAAAGTGAAGTCTGAATCCAGAGAAAAATAAGAATTTCTGGTGAAATAAATTATAACAAATGGTTTTTTAAAGTGGTCTGGTTTTTTTTTTAATATATATATATATATATATATATATATATATATATATATATATATATATATATAAACTAAAACTGGATTTGGACAATTTTACTGCTACACTAATATGTATATATATATATATATATATATATATATATATATATTGAGTGTAGCAGTAAAATTGTCCAATGTGTATATATATATATATATATATATATATATATATATATATATATATATATATATATATATCAATTGTCCAATTATATATATATATATATATATATATATAGTGAGTGTAGCAGTAAAATTGTCCAAATCGTGTAACAGAATGTGATGATTGTTAAAATATTTAATATCTAAAAAAAAAACGTTTCGTTTTTCAAATAAGACGTTTAGCCATCTTGATACCATTTGGCGTACGAATCACTGAAAACCCCTTTGAGTTATTCAGTTAGAAAAGGAACAGGTTAAAATCGTTTTGTGTCAGCCCCACTATATCTTCCCAACTGAGCAATGGTGAAACGAAAAAGATCATTCAAGCCTTCAGTAATTGTATTATCAAGAGAACGGTGAACAAGTTTTAAAAAGTGGGAACAAGAGGTCACAACAGCAAGGGGGATCATTTTACCTTAGAGCTAAATACATACGTAGCGTCCAGTTGTGTCAAAAAAACTCAGAAAATTCCTGTAAAATGTCTTCAATCCTTTCTAAGATACAACGGTTCAAACTAACAACTAGACAATTTTGCTGTTACACGATTTGGACACTTTTGCTGTTACACCCAGTCTATGGACATCCAGAAGCTGATACTCATCTTGGTCCGAACACAGATGACTGGCCGTAAAAAGGAAAAGAGCGAACGACAAAACGTAGTTTTGGCGGACATTCCTTTGGTGGACATTCCCAATTTTAAAAGAACCTTACGTGCTTGGCTCGTTGTATGGAGTAGAGAGTAAGGAGGATGTGAAGTCTCCTGACAAAAAGAATGAAAAACAGTAAACATTGTTGACCTCGAGTTGATTTTCTTCCGGCTGTCATCGAAACTTGAATGTTTCCTGCAGCAAATGTTTTCATCCACCGAAAACAGTAGCTTGTCTGTTTTCGTCGGGTCTTCTTTGCGAAAAAATCCCGCCCGTCGGAAATTGGTGCGCACCTCTTTGCCCTTATATGCTTGTCTTTCGCGACCTCCAGCCTGGGATATATGCTTTGATAAAAAGTATTTAAAAAAAAAAAAAAAATGAAGATACTAATCGAAATAAATCACGGAACAACACGTTTTACGTTATTTAGATAAAAAAACAAAAAAAAAACAAAAAAACGAGTCGGGAAATTCGTTTTTTGTTTTGTTTTGTTTTATGGTGGTGCCAGATGTTTTTGAAAACAAACAAAGAACTATTGTTTCACACGCACTTTTGCCTATTTACAAAAGAACAGTTAATGTAATTATTCACGCCTGGTTTCAAATCGTCAATGTGGATACAGATAAAGACTAAAAAAAGAAATTGTAATGACTGAATATAAAGTCGCTGTTCAAGTTACCAGAAATCTTTCACAAATTCATATACATTGAAAACGCTGCTTTTCAAACCATAAAAATATTTTATCTATCAATGAACATACGTTAACTTTTTAGCTAAATCTCGTGTTCCCTATGAAGTGGCTTGCGGCCCTATCACGTTCAAAACACCGGTTCTCGTACGATCACCAAAGTTAAGTAACGTCGTGCCTGGTATATACCTAGATGGGTGACAGTTTGGGAATACCAGCTGTAAGCTTGTATTTGTGGGTAATGGATAATGGCTCGGAATTGTTAATCGGAAATCCGAGTTCCAATTCCAGTCCGGTTCGTTATATTCATTTACGCAAATGTCCTTGGGAATCCATCTATTCCCCCCAGCTATGGGTTAATTAGTAGAATTTGTATCAGTAAATAATTATTATCGTTAAGAAATTCTTACAACTTAAAAATATTTTCTGGCTTTAAATAATCTGCAAAGGGTTGATAATCAGTAAAAAAAATCAATCAATCAATCAATAAAACCATATGAATGGCAGATCGGGAACGGGAGGACGAATAATAAGGCAAGGGACTAACAAGAGCTAAAAAATATAGGAAGTTGTGGAAAGTTACGATCGCCAACGTCATGAAGGGACACATCACAAAGAAGTAGAACCTAGCCTTTTAAAGGAAAACAAATTATATTTTCCAACAATTGTACAATGCCGATTTCACCAAAGGTGAACTTAAGTACTCCGATAATATATTTAAACATTCAAAAGCTGGTATTCATCTTGGCCCGAACACTGATGACTGACGGTAAAAAGGAAAAGAGCGAAAGAGATTTTTTTAAAGAAATATTTTATTTGTAGAAGTTCATAGCATCAGTATTTAGCCATCAAATATATTTTACCTTAAGCTACGTTTTATCTAAATTCGGTCTTACATCTGATGTTGCTGCAAAATTTTCAGTTTTTAACGAAATATTTTACTTAGATAATTTCATACAATCTTGATTGAGCCATCAACATATTTTGTCTTAATTTCTATGACCTTAAGGTATTTTTCAGCTAAATTTTGCTTTTCACAGGCGGTCGATGGACGTGGACAATGTATTGGTTATCGACGCTGGGAGTGGGATTGTGTGGCATTCATTTTCGCATGAATACGCTTGTGAATCAATCTCTTCACACACACAAGCTAAGGGTTCATTGTATGGTAGAATGAGCTCTTTAACTTTGCTTGGCAAACAGTCTCGGAGAAGGAGAATTGAATTCAAAGCCAGTTGGACATGAGCCAAGAATGGCCACACCTGAAAACCTACTTGCTAATAAAATGAGAGCAGCAGCAATTAACGTGGTATGCATAAAGACTTATACTCCACAAGGATTATTCAATTTCTTTTTAAAGCATTTCACCTCATGCAAGGCGGGAGAACCACCAGCACGCAGGGGGTTACAGAGAGTGAAAGTGAGAGAAAAGACTGTGTATAAAGCGGATTGAGGAAAGGATAAAAGAAAAATGGAGGATCAAGGCCACAGAAGATGGCGATTGACGTTGCATTTAATGAAGATTGTACTTATCAGGGAAGCAAGTAAGAAGAAGTGAGTTCCACTGTTGAGACGTGCAAGAAAAGAAACTTCTAGAATAGAAGTGGTGGTTACATTTAACTATTTCAACAGTAAAAAGGTGGGACATAAATGCCAATCGAGTAGCATGCTTAAATTCATGTAGTTGTGGCATCAGGGAAGTGGGTTCATCCGAACAGTCGCCATGAAAATATTTGTAGAAAAGACAGAGGGAAGCCACATCATGTCTGCGAGAAAGTGACTGAAGTTGAGATGTCAAGTCAGGACCGATTACATTGCAGATCCTTCTTTGGATTTTGTCGAGAACCTCATGATGAACAGCAGGCGCACCAGACCAGATATGGCAACGATATTTAATGCATGGACGTTGATGCCAAAATTCCGAACATTTTTTTTTTAACTTAACCTTTCATTCATAAAATTTCATGGCACCAGCATTCAGATATCTAAATGTTTTAGAACCAGAATTCAGTTATCTAAATTTTATAGTATCAGAATTCAACCATCTAAATGTTTTAGCAACAGAATTCGGCCATCTAAATTTTTAAGCACAATAATTCAAATGTCTAAATGTTTTAGCACCAGAATTCAGCAATCTAAGTCTTTTAGCACCAGAATCCAGCTATCTAAATATTTTAGCACCAGAATTCAGCTATCTAAATATTTATCTTGCTTTAAATATATTTCCTTTCTATGAACTTTCAGCTAAATTGCGTGTTAAATTTAATGCGAAAGTTTGCAACAGGTTTTTAATTGATAGATTCGTTTTCTACGGCTTGTCAACCCTTTGCAGGGTATTTAAAACCAGAAAATATTTTTAGATTGTAAGAATTCTTTTTTCGAGGGGTGAATAATAACGGTTTAGTAATACAAGCCTTACTAATTAACCCATAGCTGGGGGTGAGAAGAGGTGGATTCATACCTTTCCCACGAGCATTTGCCCGTAAATGAATATAACGAACCCAATGGTAATTGGAACTCGGCTCTCTGATTAACAATTCCTCGCCATCATCCTTTGCACCACCCACACATCCAAGCTTAGAGGTCCCGGTATTTCCTCCAGAAGGTTTTTGAGATCATTAATTCATAGTACCTGTATTCTGTCATCAATTATTTTTCCTTGGCTTGCTTTGAGCTTACTATTTTTCCTTGGCTTGCTTTGAGCTTACTATTTTTTTTTTCAGTGAATTTCGGAGTTTCAATTTATGTGCCCATAGCGCAGTGGTTGTCGACATTGAAACTGTGATTGACATACAGAAATTCAAATTCCAGCCAAGATGGTTGCGTTCATCTTTGCACAAATACCTATGCGATGGTAGGAACCAATCTTTTCACCATCCCAAACTAATGGTAATAGCAGAACAGACTAGGATATCTAGGTTTGGCTGGCATCCAGTCTAGAAGAACGAAAGGAATTCAAAACTGGTTAAACGTGGTGTTAGTAACCCCAGTCAGTAAATTGCAACTTTTTTTTTAATCCGTATCACCCAATACAAGGCATAAAAGCCACTAAGACACAAAGGGTTACTTGGTGTAGAAGAATTAGGAACAGATACTTTAATAATGAGCGGGGAGAGGAAAGAGTAATTAGGAGGACAGTAGATAGCAATTGACATTGTATTTAAATGTTGCAGATTAAGGTTGGCTGGAAAGCATGGAGTCAGAAGGAAGTTCCAGAAGCAAGAAAAGAGACTTAGTATAGAACCTACGACGCACGTCCTTCATGCTCTTGCCAGAATGCACACAATCATGTGTCGATACACTTGCAAGCAGCCTTTCTTCCAAACTGCAGGAGCTCGTATCAGCAACCTGAAATAGAAAATTATATTATGTTGTGGTGACAAGACTTTCGGACCATCCTGTACTATCTACAACAGAGCGATTCCAAATGAAAATAAAAAGTTAAATAAAAGTTCTAAGGTACGTCTAATATTTCCCCAAAATTGTACAACTGGGAAATTTGCCGCATCTTAAAAGAAGGCAATCAGAGAGAGATCTTCATATAATGAGATGTGTAAAAATTCAAAGAAAATTTCTAAGAGCCCCGTCATCCACTAGGGTCTTAAGGGCCGTACTGCAGCTGTGTCGGCTTATGGCCAAATCACGTTGAGTCACCAGATCCCTTACTATCACCGAAGTTAAGCAACGTTGACTCTGGTTTGTACCTAGATAGGTGACCGCTTGAGAATACCAGGTTCCATAAATTTGGATGTGCGATTGGGGTAACGGATAATGGCTGGAAAATATTAACAGGAGAGCTGATTTTCAATTCCCGTTGGGTTCGTTGTATTCACCTACGCGCAAATATCCTTGGGAATGGTTATGAATGCACCACTTCTCCCCCAGCTATGGGTTACAAAGTAAAATTTGTATCACTACTAAGCTATCGTTATCTCAATACAATCTAAAAATATTGTATGCCTTTAAATAACCTGCAAAAGATTGATAAGCCGCAGAAAACGACTCAATCAATCATGCAGCTGTAGCAGATAGCAAGGTAGCCTGGCGGAGACTATCCATCTTCAGGCTGGTTTTGAATTCAATTTTTCTTTTTCCTTGTCTGGTTGCCACCTCAGTGCAAGAGAGCCCAGTCCACCCTGCTATTTCACTGGGGGAGATGGATTCATGCCTTTTCCCAGTCGCATTAACTCGAAGTAATTTATACAAGGCATGACTTCCGTGTCAATAACCGTTCCGATATTCACACCCCTTTAAAGATATAGCGCCTACAAATTGTGCTCAACTATATTTTTCTACATGATCTCCACCAGAAATTTCTTATTTATTATGAGATGAGGAAAGCAAGTCTAGTTGTTCTTTCTTATTCTCTCTGGGCCACAGCCTCACCACTCTCGTCATGCTGCTGTGGCTTCCATCGTAATTAAACTTTTTACCGACGTGGGAGGCATGATGGACGATGTACTTAAGAGTCATAGATTTTGATTTATAAATTTACAGCTTACCAATCCCTTGTTGATTATTTAGCACGTCGATAGTGTTACGGTTTTTGAGGTATATTATGTATAACTAGTGAGCGAGTCAGAATGACTTATTTCCCTTTATAGTCGACCAATAGAAGGTTGACCAATCAGAAGCCACACAACACTGTATTCGTCGTGTATAAGGGCGGCCATCTTGTTTCCTCTATCGGAAAGACCAAAAGCGACCAGGAGAAGGATGAACTACACTCTGCTGTGATATCCACTGCGAACCTAAACTACGCTTTCCTAATGTCTCCGAAATATTCACTGCCAACCTCTGTATTCTATACTCGAGGACGACCGCCATGAAAATGTCTAACAGATAGCCAGAGGTCAGTTACGACATCTGATTTCAAACGCCAACTTTATAATAGCCAACTTAAGTAATAGACATTTTTATAGCTTTAGCTGAAGTATTACTCCCACTTGGTTTGCCAGGTTTGCCAAGATGCCGTTAGGTGGCGTTGTCAAACAGCTATAAAAAAACGGGATAATTCCTGTTTCTTCCGCTTTTTCCTTCTTTCATTTCGGTATGTGGCGGTAGCAACACTGACATTGAACTTGTTCCAAACTTGGGGGATAAAATATCTAAGCGTTTTAATACGTTGACCGCCAGAGGTTAATTACGACATTTGACATCAAACGCCAAATTTATAATAACCGACTTAGGTAATTTTTTATGAGTTGATTGATACTGAAGTCTTAAAATTATTTTCACGATCAAAGTATCACTGCGAATACATTCGTCGTTGGCGGCCACAGATGAAAATATATTAGAAAATGGCGAGAGAAGTCGTAGTCGGCATTGTAGAGTAAATGGCCATGCTTAAATATAACAGGCAGAAATGTCCAACAAATAGAATTATCAAAGTTTGCAATAATCAATAAGAAAAAAAACTGCAATAATAATATTAAGCAAACAATATATGCAAGACAAAAGTGGACAAAGAAGCAGTAATGGGGCAAAAATGTTCACAAACTAAGAATGGTGTCAACACGCCAAAGGGATACAGACAAGTGATCGCAGCTTTATGGCTTCCAGACAAGAAAGAAATTGAAAGAAAATATGCGGATGAGACCGAGATGTGATCCATCTTATTGTCTAGGAAAAAATCCCAGCGTGCACCAGTATGATTTGTCTGTAAATTTGGGAAGTGGTTCTTTTTGTAGTCATTTCAATAAGGATTGGAACTAAAAGGCGTCATAATAAAACTTAATCTTGTGGTTGGTAGTCAATGCGTTAAAGACAGTATATATATATATATATATATATATATATATATATATATATATATATATATATATATATATATATATATAGAGAGAGAGAGAGAGAGAGAGATAGATAGATAGATAGATAGATAGATAATATTAGTGGTCATATATATATATATATATATATATATATATATATATATATAAATTTCAAGAGGATAGAATCCAGGTAGAACTCAATATCCAGGACAGTGTAAGAATATAATATAAAAGTCTCAAACACTAATATTCCATGGTTATAATTTTTACATTGGAATCGTAATCACGATCCAATTCATGAGACCTACAAATTCGAAAATTCTTTATATATATATAGTGCACTCTCTCCCGTCTGTTTCGACGTATGAGGATCTGACAGCTTATTGATTCAGTTATGAAAGTTTGTGCGATAATCTTAAGTGGCATTTAAGACCCGCTAGTAATTTACAAATGAGGCCACATATGGAGTTATTCAACACGAAAATGGACATAAGAGCACAACAAATCCAAACAGATAACTGAAATTTTTATATAAGATCAGCGTTCCGTTTAAATATCACAACATCGCCCACGTGAAGACGACGTGATTATATTTAAACGGAACGCTGATCTTATATAAAAATTTCAGTTATCTGTTTGGATTAGTTGTGCTCTTATGTCCATGGTCTTTTCGTGTTGAATTTTTATATGTTCTAATGTTAATTATGTTTAAATGAAAATGTCCATGAAGATGGTCTTAAATAGATCGAAACGTCCGACGTCGACTTTATATTAACATTAATACAGCATAATTGCATATTAAGATTTTTGTTTGTTTTTTCTGTATATTTTTCTTCATATATATATATATATATATATATATATATATATATGCGCGCGCGCGTGTCTGTGTATGTGTGTGTGTGTGTGTGTGTGTGTACATACACTACAATTCAAAAGTTTGAAACCAGAATTGCATGGGTTCAACTTGTCAGTAGAGTGAAACAAATGAAAAAGTCATTGAAAAAAGAATGGAATCCATTATCAAACTTATACTTTGAGAAACTTTTGCAACGACTGCGAAAAATTGTGCTGCAGTAATCAAATTTAAAGGAGGATATTTTGACACGAGCATAATTTAATCATAAAACGCTTTTTTTTTATCTTTTTGTCATAATTAAAAATTATCTCACTTATTTTTTACCATGTATAATAATTTTCTTTACCGGAGTGGCCTCACACACACACACACACACACACATATATATATATATATATATATATATATATATATATATATATATTGATGGTGAATGGAATATTGTATTAGCAATTTTTTAAAATAACAATGAATTTTTCCAGATACGTCGTACTAGTTAACCCAAACCTTGGACGGGAGATTCAAATTTTTCCCTGGATTATTTCCGCGTAACTAAATGTAACGAATCTGAATGGAATTTGAACTCGATTTACCGATCTCTTATTCCGAATGCTTGATTGTGTTAGCGTGATCTTGTTCGTTTAGGCAATGTTCCAAATAAAATTAATTACTGGGACTTCTTCTGTTTGCCGTTTAACCTCAGGACGCTTGCGATCATGACTTTTCCCAATTTCCTGTCCCTTGTAACTGTTAAGTAACTTTTGTCATTTTGCCATCTCTCCCAAACCCTGCTTCGCTATCCATTCACTCGAGCTCGTCAGGTAGGTTGCGTGTTGCTTCCCTCTGGCCTTCACACCTTTAATCTTTCATGTGAGTATCAAATTTTTCGATCACTCTTTTCTCATTATATTTCCCAGAAACCTCAGCCGCCTCTTTTTGTTATCATTGTCTCTGGAACATTGTTTTCCATGTTCGGGCTATAGTATTCTTAGCATCCTTCTGTAGAACCACATTTCTGTTGCTTCAAGTCTCTTCCTCATCTGTGAGGAGATTGTCCAGCGTTCACTGCTATATAAGAGGACTGATACCTCATAACAGTTCAGTACTCTTTTCTTTGTTTCTAATTAAATTTTCCTGATGAAAAACATTTTATAATGATATTTTTTCTGTTTCTTAAATTTACTATACAACTATTACGTCTCAAATAATTAAATTTATGAAGATAAGATTTGCTACAAACAAAACCTAGACACTGGCCGCGCATTCTCTTTTTTATTCATAATGGCCGGCTACTTTCTTTTTACGAGAACACCACTAGCAGACGTGTGTGCACTAAAAAGAAAGTGATCCCCAGTAAAATTATGAGACCTAGCTGCCAATCTAGTACAACACTGAAATTCGTGAAGACGAGGTGGCAAAGAGGAAAGCTTATCAAAACACTTGCCATAAAAATATTTACAGAAAATACATAGGGAGCGGTTCGGATTGAGAAATCGGAAAACCGAGTTCGAATTCCAGTCGAGATCATAAGGTATGAATCTATCTTTGTCCCCTATAGCCTAGGTTGGAAAACAGTTTAAGAGAAGGAAAACTCTGAATTCAAACCAGCCTGGAGAGAATTGGGTCCCGTCAGGCTGTTCTGCTATGACTGCAGTCGATATGGCGTCCCTACGACCGTTGTATAATTTGTAATCGAGATTGTGGTACAGGGAAGCTATGTCACAGCGTCGAGAAAGCATTTGAAGTCGAAATGCCAGGTCAGAACTGATAACATTGCCGATTTTGGATTTTGTTTTTTCAAAAATCTCTAGAAACATAGCACAAAACCAGAGTCAACAACAGGACCAGCGTCAGGATCTCGCCACCCTCTGCTCGAAAACATTGATTTGAGACCCCCCCAGCGCCCGCCTTCTCTACTACGTGTCGATTTCAAAATTTCCCAACCTGGTGTTCACAAACCATCAAAGGAAAATTGTGGGAGTGAAGGGCAACGGTGTTTTTAAATTACCAAAAATCAGAGAATTATCCAATTTAAATGAAAATTTCAATACCTATTCAATAATTATTTACTTTTATCATTAATATTTTTGTTATTAAAAAATCTGAGAAAATGTTATTCTTTTTATAATAATCAACATTTTCATGACTAAATTTTACTAGAAAAAAATGTTTAAGTTGCAAATTTTTTTACATTTTTCGCTGAAGAAAAGAAAGAAAGTTTTACAATGATTCCAACACAACACAAACGGGATTGTTTTAAAAAAATTTGTTACAAAAACAGTATTTCAATTTTCGCCAATTTTTTTGTGTTGAAATCTTTAAACATTTTTATTTTTTAAGCGATCATTTTCTTGGTTTTATCTTTCTAAAAATGTAAAAAACAGCGACGAGAAATTTTATTTTAATTACGAGCCGTGGACTTCTCTTTAACATTAGTTAGTTGGTTAGTGGATGATCTCAGAATAAAAAAAATTATTTAACCGAGATTGATTGAAAAGAACTGGTCAGTAAGAAAATTACAATTTAAAAAAGAAAAAAACCCTACTGAAATTAGCACATCTGTCCCCCCTGCCCAGTAGGCATGGGGCGCCCACACGACGTTGAGAAATTTGGGATACTAAGCATCGGCCCTGTCGATTATTATTGTTGATGACTGACAATATAATTTAGGTAGAAAAAAAAGTACAAAAAACCCCCAAAAAAAAAAAAAAAAAAACAATAAAACAAAAAAACAAAAAGAAACAAACAAAAAAAAAAAAAACGCCACTGAAACTAGCCCTTTTGGGTCTCCAACCTCATCGGGGATTCACCGTAGTACACCGGCCATGCAGATACACGATGTATATTATTAGTTGTTGACTGACAATGTAACGTCAGTTTAAAAATAATTAAATATATATATATATATATATAGCGGGGGACCATAAATCAATGCTGAAAAAAATGGCAGGGGCCACAACTGTCAGGGTTTCGGGGATAACCCCCCCCCCACCGAACAACAATATTCAATGTATGGACGAATGAAGGACTTATAATGGAGCAAGAGAAATTCGGGTGAGAAAAATTGTCTTGAGAAATACTGTTGCCTTCTTTAAGGTTTTGAATTCCGTGATGGAGTTCTCTTAGACTGGCTGCCACCCTAGGCTACAGAGCCTCTTATACTCTGCTATTTAACCTACAGCTGGTAGAGAGAAGAGGCGGGTACACAGCTTTCCCAAGAACAAACTAAGAATTTGAACACAGGTCGGCAGTTACGCTTTCTGAGCCGATGACAGTTACGATAGCTACAGATTTTTATGGAAGATGAAAACGGTATAAATGCATGTTGACAAAATTAATAAATTCTTAAGAGAAAGAGTTGATGAACAATACTCCGCTGCCTGTCAAAAGTAACCCCGTTGTGCAATGATCCGATGGACTGATTAATGGTTTTATTTTTTATAAATTCGTTTTTTTTTTTTTTCGTCATTTTTTTTCCTCATTTCTCTTTTGTCTCTGTCAATTTTGCTTAATTTTTATTTTGCCTTATTTTTTTAGTCGTTTTTTTCTTTCATTCGTTTTGTTTCTTTTCTTACGCCTGTCATTTTAATTTTATCTCTCTGCCAACCATTACTTCTTCAAGGCATTCTTCTTATTTTGGTCCTTTTTCATTTTGTTGAATATTTTTCCTTTCGTTCCCATATTTTTATTTTTAATTACTTTATCCCAAGAATGGGCGATAAAGCCACTACGACACGAGAAGTCACTGAGCATGTAAGAAACTGAGAAAACGTTATTGAGGACAAAACAAAAAAGAAGAGGATTCAAGAAGACGGGAAATTATGACTGACATTGCCTTTACATTTTTGAAGATCGTATTTGATATTAAAACAAGGAACAGGGAGAGAATTTCACAGGCAAGAATTGCGAGGGAAGAAACTGTTAGCATAGAACTTACGGTTGCATTTAGCAATTAAATGAGACCTAACTGCCAATCTGGTACTACGCTTACATTCATGAGGTCGAGATACTAAATAGGAAAGCTCATCAGAACAATTACCATGAAAATAGTTATAGTAAAGGTCATTTCTACTAGTTACATTTAACTATGTCCAATTACTCTACGACGCCGACTACGAGTTATCTCGTACCGACCACGAGTTATCTCGTACTTAGCATTTTCTAATACATTCCTTTTGCTTCTTATGTTTCCACTGTTTTCTTCTCTTTTCTTTTTTCGTTTGCGTCATTATTACTTTCATTCAATCTTTTTCCATTTTTTCATTCAATTTTCACTTTATTTTTTTATCAGCTTCTTCAAATATGTTTTTCCTTTATGTTGTGGATTCCGGGATGAAATCCGGTCTGAAATGAATGACAAACGCAGGAATGAAATATAGCAAATAAATGTATTGACGTAATAATACAATTGGTAATACGGTTAGTAGATCCAGAAAGGCGGTTAGTCGCAATAATAATATATATACAGTCTGGGAAATTCAGTATCGAAGTATGACTTCCTTCTGAGTCTACGTGCTCGCAACTGTGACTCCTACAAAGCAGTTACCTCACACTGTCACTGTCTCACTGCATCACTGTCACTGTCTCACTCTGGGTATTCACCGGCAGCAGTACGCACTAGGCGAGTCCACTTGTTTGAAAAAGGGGTGAACCCCTTAACACTTTATTTGGTCATTTTCATTTTTCTCACTTTTTTATTGGCTTTCTTTCTTTCTTTCTTTCTTTCTTTCTTTTCCTTTTTCTTTCTTTCTTTCTTTCTTTCTTTTCTTTCTTTCTTTCTTTCTTTCTTTTTCTTTTCTTTCTTTTTTCTTTCTTTCTTTCTTTCTTTCTTTCTTTCTTTACCTTTTTTCTTTCTTTCTTTCTTTTCCTTCTTTCTTTCTTTCTTTCTTTCTTTCTTTCTTTCTTTCTTTTCCTTTTTTCTTTTTATTTCATTTCCTCTTCTTCGGTTTTAATTTCTATCCTTCCTTAAAGATTAGTATTTCTTTTATCTTGATTTTCGATCTATCCTAGAACCCATTTTCTTTTTCCATTATTCTCTTCTTCAAGCCATCTACTCCGTCAATTTTCTTCTATGATTTTTCTTCTTCAAATATTCCTCCCTTTCAGTTTTGCCTTTTCCTCTTTCTTAGACTTTTTTCTCTTTATTTTTATTTCTTTTTTAATATTTTCTACATTTTCCATTTTGATTTTCCGCCATTTTATTCTTTATCTTTTTCTTACTTCTTTTATATCATCTTGTCTTTCTATCCATTTCCATGAAATAATGAAATAGTCCCGAGCGTATGAACCACAAAAAGAACAGTATATTTCACCGATTTCGCTCGCCAGCTCATTTTATTTAAAATCAAGGCAGTAAAGCCACTAAGACACAAGAGATCACTGGGTGACGAGAAAACAGAAACATTATTAAGAAGTGAGAACAAATGAATAATCAGGAGGACAGTAGATATCGACTGACATTGCATTTAAACTTTTGAAGATTAAAGTTAGCTGGAAAACATGGAGCCGGAAGGGAGTTTCACAAGCGAGAAGTGTGAGAAAAGAAACTATTAGCACAGAACTTACGGCTACATCTAGCCAGCTCAACTGTAAATTGATGAGATCTCGACTCCAGTCTGCGCTTAAAGTTTAGGTACCATAGCGAATAGCTCATCCGTACATTTACCATGAAAGTATTTATAGAAAAGGCACAGACCTACAGCAGTTGAAAAATGACTAGAGTCCGGATGCCAGATCAGGACCGATTATATTGCTGATTCTTCTTTGGACTTTATCAAGGAACTCTAGGTAAATAGCAGGAGCACCGGACTATATGTGGTAGCAATATTCTAAGCATGGACAAATGGTATCCTTATAGATATGGAAGATAGATTCTGGAAAGCAAAATTGTCTCGCTCGACATAGTGAATCAAATTTCTTAGCAACTGACCTAGCAATGGATTCAATATCGTCTTTCCAATTCATATCAGAAGAGGAACGTAAGCCCGAGAAGGCGCAATGTCACTTTCATGGAGGTTAGCATCAGCCATACTGATGGAAAGCAGAGAAGGGTCTCTCGAATGAATAATGGATAGCAGTTTACTTTTGGAGGCGTTAAAATTAACAAGCCGCTCTTTGTTCCAGTTAACAGCTGATTGGAGATCGTTTTCGAACCTCTATATCTCCACCTGCTCCGCCATCATGGTTTTCTCATCTCAAGGAACCACAAGGTCTAACCATTCGGGGTTGCTCTCTCCAAGCGTTTGTCATTCATGATGTTCTTATACCACATGAGATTGACTGCTTGCATTATTATTATTATTATTATTATTATTTCTTCCTTTGATTTCTGTTGTATACACATTGTCTGTCTGGTCTCAACCCGAGACTTAAGGTCAGAAATGGCTTCATGACATTTTCCACTGATCATCATTTGCAAAAAAAAAAAAAAAAAAAAGGAAGAAAAATGTACATAGATAAAGCTCTTCGTAATGTGTGAGCTGTAATTTTAAATACAATTTTTTGTATTTTTTTAAGGCATTGGCTACCAGGAATCCCTTCAATGAGTCTATCGGAACCCTTTCCAATAATACCGTGGGCTCCAAATACAACTGAAATTATTGATGTCCTCGTGTGCCATTTGAGATTTCCACTAGAAGATCCTTGTATTTTGATAGTTTTAATTTTATTATTATAGTGCAAACATTTTGAGAGAATATTTGATGCAACCCAAAGGAATATAATTCCAATGCAGAGTGGATCAAACGAGAACAAAAAAGAATGAAAGATAAACCTGTGAAATAATGGAAAAATATAACCGATAATAATGTTAGGCAAGCTCTAATAAAATCCTCAAAATGGAAATCTCCAGGAAATGACAAGATACCCAACTTTAGGATCTGCCATCTGTCATCAATCCATAAAAGTCTTGCGCAAAATCCATCAATGCTAATTAATAATCCCAATGAGACTCCATAATTGATCACTGATGTTATTACATATCTCCTACCTAAAATGAGTAAAACAGATGATCCCAAAAATTATAGGCCGGTAACATGTCAGTCAACCACACATAAATTGATCACGTTAGTTCTGACAAATTGTACGTATTCTTTTCTCGATTCAAACAACATTATTTCCCTGGAACAGAAGGGGTGTTGAAGAGGTTCATATTATTATTATTATTATTAATGTTTGTGTCTTATGTTTCCTGCTTTGTATTCTGTAGAGCCGAGTCCAAACTATGGTCCTTAGACTCTATAGAAGAATGGATAGTTACATCGTTATTTTGGGTAACTGTGTCTGGTTGGTGGTCATACCATCTCTCAGTGGTTTCGATTTTGTGCTTCTTGCATATCTTTCTTCTTCTTCTTCTTCTTCTTCTTCTTCTTCTTATTATTATTATTATTATTATTATTATTATTATTATTATTATTTGTTGCTTTCTGTTAAGTACAGTTCCTTGCTGGGTAATTACTCCAGATGTGGAGTGAAAGAAGGTAGTAAATATATACATTCTGTTTGAACAAATTCTGATGTTCATTGATATTTAACATTCACACTATTTATATTTTCTTTAAGAAGATAATACTCTCCCGAATAGATAAGCAGTTTCATAGTGCAATTTCAAAAATCTTTTGTTAAACAGATGCTGCCAGATACCTTGTTAATGTCTTCTTCTGTGACAGTATTTTTTTATCGTACCCAACGCCCCAGTTATTATAGGTATGACTCTACTTTTAAGGTACCACATTTCATCTTTTCTTTTTCTTTTCATTTTCAACATACTTATATTTCCATACTTTGTCATATTCTTTATTTCTTATCTGATTGTACTGTCATATCCAAGAAAAGGCTTCTTCTTTAGCATTCTTTAATTACAATGCCTGCTCTATATGCTTTTTTAAGTTTGTTATTATGAAAGGTAAAGTGCCAAGCAATAGTGACCTTATATCTTCATATAACTGATTTAGGGTTATCTGCATGTGGCACTGTTGTACTGACATATCTTCCTGTGAATTTATTGCCCAATCTTATCATGTCGATCTTTATATTCGTTCGATGTTAAGATTGGACAACCAGTATCAATATGGTGTTCGCATAATTTGCATGTCGAGATTTCATCATTCTTTATGATGCTTATTGCTATTATTATTTTCATTTTATTTCCTTTTGATTTCTGGTGTATACTCATTTCTTTACGAGTCCCAACCAGAGACCTAAGGTCATAAATGGCATTATGACATGTTCCACTGAGTAAAAAAAAAAAAAAAAAAATTACACATATAAAGCGCTTCGTAATTAATGGGATATCTTTGTGACTACAAATCTTTGCATTTCTTTAAGGCATAGTCTACCAGGGATCCCTTCAGTGTGTCAATCAGGACATTTTCCAATCAAACCGAGGCTCTAATTGTAATTATTGATGCCCTCGCGTATCACATTTTTTAGATATAGTCCGGGGACCCTGCTGTTTACCTTGAGCTTCTTGATAAAATCCAAAGAAGAATCAGCAATATTATTGGTCCTGATCTGGCGGCTCGAATTCAGTCACTTTCAAACAGTCGTAATGTTGCTTCTTTGTGTCTTTTCTGTAAATACTTTCATGGTAGTGGCTCGAATGAGCACTTAATTATGGTACCTAAATATTTTAAAAGATTTAAGCGCCAAACTAGACTGGCGCCGAGATCAATCATTTACTGTTGAGCTGGCTAGATGTAACCGTAAATTCCATGCTAACAGTTTCTTTTCTCGCACTTCTTGCTTGTGGAACTCCCTTCCGGTTGCATGCTTTCCAGCCAAACTTTAATCTGCAAAAATTTAAATGCAATTTCAACTTGATTACTGTCTCCTCTTCCCGTTCATTATTAATATTTCTGTTCTAATTCTTCTACACCCTGTAACCCTTTGTGTCTTAGTGGCTTTATTGCCTTTCATGAAGTAATACCGATTAAAAAAGTTCGATTTCAAGGTCATTATTATTATTCTTACTATTGGGTGAGAGTATATCACGTCATGAAAGGGACACCGGGGATACAAATATATACAAATGATGACCCCTCCCCTCCCCCGAGTTTGATAAGGGTGTACCAAGCGCATACATCACAACGAAATGTGCAGGATATAGTGAGAGCTGTTAATAAAGAGCAGCGCATAAGCTTGCATTAGAGATTCGGCGATGAACCCCCCACCCCAGCCCCGACTACTTCAACTGAGGGTGCACAATGCGTTAACCCCTAGGGGACATGCTCAAGTAGTTATGGTCAGGCAACGAAGTAAGAAAATCTGCAGTACTTGATGGGATAATTACTGTAATTACTTGTTATTTCCACAAGATAAATCATATATATGTTAACATCTCTAATGAATTAAGAGCAGAAGCCATGTCTGTGTACCATCAGGGCATTCATTATTATTATTATTATTTTTATTATTATTATTATTATTATTATTTGTGTATGCTATGTTTCCTGCTTTGTATCCTGAAGAGCCGGGTCCAAACTATGGTCATTAGGCCATTATTATTATTATTATATTATTATTATTATTATTATTATTATTTATTATTATCATTTCCTTTGATTTCTGGTGTGTTCTAATTTCTTTCGTGATGTGTTGTTAGAGCCACATTTCAGGTTAAAATTTTTTTTTTTTTTTTTTTTTATAGATAAAGCCTAGCGTTACATGACAAAGTGGTCCTTAGGGTTTGTCTTAATCAATTTTCTGTATTTGGTACGGGCAGGATTCTTTCAATGTGTTGTTTTGTTCCATTTTTTTTAATTCATGCCATCGTTTCTGTATCTTGTTTTCAATTTGCATTTTCCTTTTCAATTTCTTTCTTTTGTATTTTGCAGCTTCTTCGATGTATTGTTACAATTTATTCGTATTTCTTCACCAATTTGAAACTGGTTTTGACTTCCTTCATTACTGAAAAATTTCGATTACTACTTTCATGTTCTTTTTGACCAGAGATCTAAGGTCATCCAGTTTTCTGAAGTTTCCAGGTATCTTTGAAAGCCAATTCTTGTAGTGTTGTAAGACAGTTCTAGTTGAACTAATCCTCTGCCTCCTTCGGATCTGGAATACAGACGATCAACATCAGCTTTGGGATGATGCATACGGTGGCAAGTGAGAAGCTTTCTCGTTTTGGTGCTCATTCATTTAATGTCAGCTATGATCCAGTTAAAGATGTTGAAACTGTATTGCACTATAGGGAAAACCAAGATATTTATGGCTGATATTCTGTTTTTTGAATTCAGTTCGGTATCCAGTACAAGACGTACACGCCTGTAGTACTCCTTTCTTACCTTCTCCTTCATTTGGGTATGCTGTATTCCATCTTCGCCAATTCCTAGGTACGTATAGTCTTCTTCTTGTTCCAGTTTCCTAATGTTTGTGACAAAATCTAAATCTGTTCAGTATGTTTCTGTAATTCTCTCTTTCTTGAAAGTTACTTTTGCACATTTATCTAATCCGAAATCCATAACTATGTTGTCACTGAAACATCTCACAGTTTTGAGGAGACTCTTCAACTCACTGTCGTCTCTTGGCAAAAACTTTGAGATCATCCATGTAGAATAGGTAGCTGAGTGCTTTCTTGTTTAGTTTGTAACTATAGCTATTATTGTTTAGTTCACGCGTAAAGGGGATTCAGGACAGACAAAACAGAAGGTGTGAAAGGGAGTTTCCTTGAAAGATTCCTCAGCCGATTGGAGATGACAGTGACTCTTGTGTGATTTAGGTATAATGTGGTTTTCCACATTCCCATGCTGTGTTTAAGGAAATTTAATATCATGGGGGAGACTTTGTACATTTCCAAAGCCTTAAGGATCCAAGAGTGAAGCACACTATACAAGGCTTTACGGTAATCTATCCATGCTGCGCTAAGATTTCTACACCGTCTCCTGAAATTTTCCAGAATCATTTTATTTATCAGTAGTTGATCTTTGCAACCATATGATTTTCTCTTGCATATCTTCTGTTCCAGTGGGAGAGTGTTGTTTGCTCCGAGAAAAAAGTAAGTACTCTTCGTCAGGACAAACGTAATCAATTTTGGTCTATAATTTTTCAGGTCATGTGTTTCACTCTTTTTTGGCATGGGGTATGTAATACCTACAGTGATCCATTGCGGGATTACACTGAGATTATTAATAAGCATTGATAGGATTTGTGCAATTATTATTATTATTATTATTATTATTATTATTATTATTACCTTTGATTTCTGTTGTGCACACATTTCTTTCCGAGTCTCCAACCAGAGACTTAAGTTCATTCCACTGATCATTTTTGTTGCGTCTCTGAAATGCGAGTAGTTTTTTTAACACTTATATTCACCCTATACAAGGCCCAGGAGCCACTCGAGTAGAGTAAGAGGCACCAACACAAGCAAGTAGATAATGCCACCCAGATGTAAAGGGCCACAGGAAGTATAATAGAAAGAAAAAGCTTTAGAAGAAATCTGCACAGGAAACAATGGATAAGACTCTACTCCTGTTCAATAACTCGGGGAGTTTTGTGAACCGGACGATAGGCAAACCTATCTATTCTTACTGTAAAATGTAAATCAATACTAATTAAATGTTCAGAGTTTTAGGCGGTGACGTTAGAAGTATGGAGTTGAAGTAGACTTTAGAAGCAGCCAGAAAGTCAATCCTATACAAGAATCAACGTACAAGCCTCTGCTAATGTTCAAAAGACCAGTGAAGATTATGAACCGGGCGAAAGGCAAAGCTACATACTTCTATTGATATAATCATCATCAGTCACCCAAATCATTTAAGATTCGAAGAGGATATCAAATAATAATAATAATAATAATAATAATAATAATAATAACATCGTGATTAGTGATCGCAAAGACAAAATGGTGACTCTTTATTGACATGGCGGTCCCTGCAGACTACAATGCATCTTTGAAGATCTTTAAAACACTTCAAAATACAAAGACCTTAAAATTGAAATCTCAAAAATGTAGCACATGGGGGCATACAATATTCCAGTTGTAGTTGGAGCCCTCGGATTGAGTGGAAAAGATTCCAATAGACTCATTGAAGGGATTCCTGGTAGCTTATGCCTTAAAGAAATACAAAAAAAATTGTTCTCCTGAGTACAGCCCACACCTTACGAAGGGCGTTTATCTATGTAAAATATATGTGATTTTTTTTCAAAAATGCTCAGTGGAAAATGTCATTACTGGCTTTAGGCCGGGACCCGGAAAGAAATGAGTCATTCATTTATGCACCATGACTGAAGAAGAAGATTTTTTCCCGCAGTAGGTTGCCATTTCTGTCTGCGGTAGACCAGTTGCTATCTGTCCTGCTATTTACCCATAGCTGGGGAGGGGAAGAATAACCCATACCTTTCATAATTGAATGTAATGGATTCGACTAGAATTCGAACTCGGCTCTCCGATTCCTCCATCCGAGCCGCTATCCATTACTCTACCGTGCCTTCGATGTGTATATACCAGATACATAATAAATGAGTATACCCCAGAAATTAAAGGAAATAATAATAATAATAATAATAATAATATTAATAATAATAATAATGGAGTCATGGGTCGTATTTAGATGTGTGCGTGTAATAAAAGCTTTAGAATAAACATCATGGTGATATATTTGATAATAAGTAATAATATTTATAATATAGTAGAATCTTTGATAGTATTTAGATGGATATATGAAATTATCTTTGTGGTAAATGTATATATGTACTAATATTTTATGACGGTATTATTAATAATAATATCAAGGAGTCATAGATAGTTTTTTAGATGTGTACCATAAAATAATCCTTAGAGAAAATCTTTTTGGTATACGTTTTGATATACAATACTCTATAAATACTAAGTTAATATGGAGTTGCAGATAGACTTTAGCTATCAGCCAGTTAAGTGTCATACGCTATACACGCTTGGGCGATCATGTCTCTTTCGATTCATGACTGACTAAGCAGAAGATTTTCTCACAGTAGGTTGTCATTTCTTTCTGCGATAGACTAGTTTTCAACCAACGCTATAGGATCCAGCATTGCTATTCATACGTTTTCCTAATATTAATTATTCTATTCAAATATATATTATCCGGGCAAAACCTTGTTGCTGCGTGTAAGAATGATATGAAAAAAGCGCCAAAGAAAGAAAGAAAGAAAGAAAGAAAGAAAGAAAGAAAGAAAGAAATGGAGAATTAACTAAAAGAAACAGAAGAAAAAAAAGAAAGAGAGAAAGAAAGAAACAAGTGGAAATAAACTGAAAAGAAAGAAAGAAATGGAGAATTAACTAAATAGAAACGGAAAAAGAAAGAGAGAAAGAAACAAATGAAAATAAACTGAAAAGAAAGAAAGAAAGAAAAAAGAAAGAAAGAAAGAAAGAAAGAAAGAAAGAAAGAAAGGAGAAACAAACAAGCGAACGAACGTGAAAAGTGGGGAGCATAGGTAAAGGAAAAATAATTAATTTTAATACCAGTTAAAAGTTTACTGATGACAAGCACCTGGATAGTCAGCTTTTCGAAACATCTTAAGGTTTTGAAAAGGTGTTCTGAAGTGGTTCCATATATTGTTCACTGAACCGACAAGATATTTCAAGTTATTCGACCTCTACGCGCACCCTTCATAACTACGTTCTGACGATTTATATTTTTTATTTTATATATAGAAATATCTCCGATTACATGGAAATTAATGCAGGTTTGAAGAAAGATGAATAAAACCACAACTGGCTGGTTTTGTTTAAGGCACGAGAAAGTCACGAAAGAGTGAATGAATGAGTGCATTTAAAAGGGAATAATAAAGGAGTAGAGATAGAAAGCGAATGAATGAAGAAATACAACGAGTAAAATCAGTTTGCTTATCATGAGTTGGGAAACGACTAAGTTAATGGACAAAGAAAGAAAAAGAAAGAAAGAAAGAAAGAAAGAAAGAAAGAAAGAAAGAAAGAAGATATATCGAAATGAGAAAAATAAAGACAAAAAAAAAAAAGAAAGAAAAATCTATTGAAATGAGTGATATAAAACAGGGAGAAAGAAGGGAAGAAAGAAAGAAAAGAAAGAAGACAGACAGACAGACAGAAAGAAAGAAGAAAAGAAAAGAAAGAAAGAAAGAAAGAAAGAAAGAAAGAAAGAAGATATATCGACATGACAAAAATAAAGATAAAGAAAAAGAAAGAAAGAAAGCAAGTCTATTGAAGTGAGTGAAAGAAAGAAAGAAAGAAAGAAAGAAAGAAAGAAAGAAAGAAAGAAGATATATCGAAATGAGAAAAATAAAGACAAAGAAAAAAGAAAGAAAATCTATTGAAATGAGTGATATAAAGACAGGGAGAAAGAAAGAAAGAAAGACAGACAGACAGACAGACAGAAAGAAAGAAAGAAAGAAAGAAAGAAAGAAAGAAAGAAAGAAAGAAAGAAGATATATCGACATGACAAAAATAAAGATAAAGAAAAAGAAAGAAAGAAAGCAAGTCTATTGAAGTGAATGAAAGAAAGAAAGAAAGAAAGAAAGAAAGAAAGAAGATATATCGAAATGAGAAAAATAAAGACGAAGAAAAAAGAAAAAAATCTATTGAAATGAGTGATATATAGACAGGGAAGAAAGAAAGAAAGAAAGAAAGAAAGAAAGAAAGAAAGAAAGAAGATATATCGACATGAGAAAATAAAGACAAAGAAAAAAAAGAAAGAAAGAAAGAAAGAAAGCAAATCTATTAAAATGAGTGATATAAAGAAAGAAAGAAAGAAAGAAAGAAGATATATCGAAATGAGAATAAAGACGAAGAAAAAAGAAAGAAAGAAAGCAAAACTATTGAAATATGTAAAATAAAGACATGGGAGAAAGAAAGAAAGAAAGAAAGAAAGATATATCGAAATGAGAAAAATAAAGACAAAGAAAAAAGAAAGAAAAAATCTATTGAAATGAGTAAAATAAAGACAGGAGAAAGAAAGAAAGAAAAGAAAGAAAGAAAGAAAGAAAGAAAGAAGATATATTGAAATGAGAAAAATAAAGGGAATAGACAAAGAAAAGCTAAAGAAAGACAAATCTATTGAAATGAACAAGAATAAAGACAAAAGAAAAAGAAAGAAACAAAACCGGCCAGAAAGAAAGAATATATATTGAAATGACAAGAATAATAAGAAGGGAAAAAAAACAAAAACAAATCTATTGAAATGAGAAAAACAAAGACAATGGAAAAAGAAAAAAAAGAAAGAATGACACAGAAAAAAGGAGAGGAAAAAGATATATTGAATTGAGAAAAAGAAAGAAAGAAAGAAAGTGAAATGAGAAAATAAAACAAGGGTAAAGGAAAGAAAGAAAGAAAGAAAGAAAAAGAAAGAAGATATATTGAAATGAAAAAAATAAAGAAAGAAAAAAGAAAGAAAGAAGAGAAAATCTATTGACAAGAGGAAAATAAAGAAAGAAGATCTATTGAAATGGGAAAAATGAAAGCAAAAGAAAAAGAAAGAAAGAACAAAACATACAGCCTGAAAGAAAGGCCAAGAGGAGAAGTAATGAAAAGAAAATTAAATAGAAAATAACGGTGAAGTAGAAACGAATCTGACAGTCTGTACATCAGATGGGCTGGTTGACGCGACCCCTTCAACTGCAAATAGATTGAAAGAGATGAAGAAAAAGAATAAAAAAAAATATAAGGGGTAGAATGACAGACAGACCAGTAACGTGTTCGAAATGGTCAATAAAAAAGGCGGGAAAAAACAGAATAGACTTTTCACATTTTTTGTCCCTTCTCTCTCATCTTTGTACTGATCCTTCAATGTCAAGTCACGGTTGGGTAGTTCGTTTTTTGCTCCTTTCCAAAGCGAAATATATTCCTAAAGGATCGAATAGCTCTCTAGCCCAAAGAATTCTCATTAAAAACAACGGAAGAGCTAGCAGAAGAAAGAAATAGAGATATAGATGAGAAGGAAAAGACAAAGAAAACGATAGAAAGGAGAAAGCGATGAAAGCAAACAAGACAGGGTCCTTCATTCATTCACACTGTCTCTGTTTTTGTTTCATTTATATGCAGCTCAGGTATTGGCGGCAATCCTTCCTAGACAGGCTATGTGACATGACTGCCACAAGATTATAATAATGTGTGTCTGGTTATCAATGAGATAAGAGAAAAAGGAAAGAATTGATTTGCTCTGACCAAAACGTGTAAAAGAAGTGAGATATAGAACTTCGGTAAGGCTGGTTGATTTTACGACATGTCAACCACTGTTGGCTTATTTAATATCGACATTGTGTAGAGCAGTACGCCGTGATAATCGAATCCACTAACAATAATGGTCAACTAGATGAATTTCACAAACCACTGACGAACGCCAAGATCGCATAAGATATACATATAAAAGGCGCCTACATTGTCGTGATATCAGACAAGCTTATCTTGTGGGAAAAAATTGTCAGAAATACTTTTAAAAGGATGCAAGAAACTTTTTTTCAGCTGTTCTCGACAAAACAGGACACTAGTTGTGTATTTTTTGAGCCTTTTATATTCAATATCAGATTCTTTCGTCGCGTTTCATGATGCTTTTTATTTTTGTGATAAATAATTGTTAATATTCTTTTCGTTATTTTGAACAACGGTTCTCATCTCGGTTGATATATATGCTATTAAAAAGGGTGTTTCATTTAGACGGATTATATATAAGGGTGTTTCATTAAAACGGATCAAAGTCAGAAGTAAATAAATCAGTGTTATTGGTGAAAATGTATTTATTTCTCTATTGGATCATGTTATTTAAGTCATGGCAATTGTGTTTGAAAAATAATATCGCCCAAATGTCCGCCAAATCTGAAAGAAAAAGAAAAAAAATCACTAGATGCTTAAACTTAATTCACATTAAAATCGGTCCAAGTTATTGGAACACCCTTTAGTAGCTACTTCTATAGATTCACTAAAAAATGAGCATACCACGGGGGAAAAAGGCCCCCAAATTAATAAAAACAACGCTTTATTGTCAAAATGTTTATGTTATTATTAAGATGAAAGACGAAAGGATTTTTTGCTTATTAAATTATATTTTGAATCCCTTTTAGAACTTTCGAAATTTTGATTAAAAACTTTGTTTTTTCTTGAGTTAGCAGGGACCATAGATTAGTATAAGAAATGTTAGCGTGAAAAACACATTGATTTGAAAATTCTGACAAAAATCAAATAATTGTCAGAAACTTTCAGAACTTATTCACAAATAAATTAAATTATTTGAGAAATGTTTATATTTTGGAAAATCTTAGCAAAAATATTTTTGACATCTGTTACCCAAACTTAATTAATTTTATGAAATTTCGAGAAATCAAATTTTGTGCCACTTAATGCTTATATTAGTTAAAAGCAAAATCCTTTGGAGAATTTAAATCATACTTTTTTCTTTTTGTAAAACAGGAACACCAGTTACCAAAAATCTGCTCTGAATTGTAAAATACAGAATGCAATAAAACTAAGACATTATTTAATTAGAAAAGCTTTTAATTGCTTTTAGATATATTATAAGCACTGTTGTCTTAGAAAAAAATTTCCACGAATAAATAATTTTTACGAGAATTGTTTACATTTTTTTAAAAATTTAATTAGAATAATTTATGAAGTTTTAAATCTTTTAAATTTATGCTTTACATTGTGCCAGTTAGGTAATATTGTTATTAAGTAAAACCCATATTTAGTAATCATAAATATAAACACCAAATTATAAAAAAGAATTTTCAATGTCTTTTTATGTGTATAAACGTAGCGAGTTTTGTAAATACAGCCGTTTATCAGTAAATAAAAGCGTTGACTATAATAAATTTAAAGTCAAAGTATCTAAAATTCAATAAAACATTAGATTACGGAGAATATATTTTTAATTTTTTTAAAGATTATTGGGTACTTAAAAATTATATAAAAAAAGCGCTCACGCTATATCACTCAAGTAAAGTCACAGAAATATACCTTGTAGAAAAAAAAAATTAGATAAATTTCCTCTGCCATATAAGTTAAAATGTTTGTTAAAAATGCATTTCTGTAATATTTAAACTTACATTAAGTAATAATTCTTCGAAATCTGATTTATTCGACATTAAATCAGCTAATATTCCTGAAATAACATTTCAGAAAAGTATATTTTATTTTTGAAATAATTTTTAATAAAGAGAATTACATTGCGATGACGGAAGGCTAAAAATGGCGCTAAAATAAGCGATGTTATTGATTTCAAAACGAAAACTTCTTCCAGTCAATTGAAATTAGTTTAGAAATACAGCAAAGTATTTTACTTATCGGAAATAGTAAATTTAATCAATTAGCATGAAATTAAAATAAATATAGACCTTCAAAAAAGTTTTTCAGTTTTAAACACCTTAGGACCTCGAGTATCTGTGGAGCTGCATATATATAACTGCCCAAAATGATTATATATATATATATATATATATATATATATATATATATATATATATATATATATATATATATATAATATAAAAAAAAAAGAACAGTAAAATATATAATCCGGTATTCTTATAGATATTTTTATTTTTACAAAATAGTGCTCAATGTAAATTTACAGAGCATTAATATTATAAATTAATTGATTTAAAATATGTTTTTTCGCTACACAGTTCTAACCATGTTTCAAAATGGAAGCTAAAGCTCGAATTTAATTTTTAATTGAATTAAAGACATTAGTTCCATTTCATCCTCAAGCAAATTTTGGAGTAACTTTTAACTGTTACTCCAAAAATTCGCTTGAGGATGAAATGGAACTAATGTCTTTAATTTAATTGCAAAATTAAATTCGTGGCTTTTTTCCATTTTTGAAACATGGTTAGAACTGTGTAGCAAAAAAAAAAAAATCAATTAATTTATTATTATATATATATATATATATATATATATATATATATATATATATATATGTGTGTGTGTGTGTGTGTGTGTATGTATATATATATATATATATATATATATATATATATATATATATATAAATTTAAGAAACAGCAGATATTTTATCTATAGTGCTCAATATTCAAATATTAAAATAATATTAAAAATAGAGCGTTGATGATATTATATGAACAGATTACTTAACTTTTTAAATGTCAATTTTTTTCCCGACATCTATGTTTCATGGTAAAATTTCCAGTTTTCAGAGACAGTGGTTTTGAACTTATTTCCCCAAAAATTTCAAAAACTTGGAAATACCGTTCAAAACCGCTACCGCTGAAGACTGGAAATTTTACTTAGCAACATCGATGTCGGGATAATGGAAACGACGTTGGATAATGGCTTCAGAAGGGAACTACTTCGATGGCGGTTAAATGCCGAACTGATATGATGAGCCACCATAAGGCCGTCGGAAGTAATACAAATAAATCCATTAGAAATTGCTATGAGAATAATATGAGTGAGCCAGTAATTATGCGTAGCTTAGATGTGGCACAAGGCCGAAGATAGGGGGTATCCAGTGAGGATAGAACTCACTATTCAGTGTATAATTGATCTAGCTCGATTACAAGCCTCCTAACGTCCGTCATCAAAATGCTCATGCCGAAGGGATATATGTTATAACTTTCTTTTTATAGCACCAGTCCCAATACTTTTTTTTTATCAGACCTTGTCTGTGGACAACTTTCTACTTTTTTTCCGACGGGAAAACGGAAATATTGATTTCGTTGTGACAATGAAGTAAAGAAAACTAATTTTCAAGAAAATATTGTTTTCCACAATATTTGTTGAAGAGCATTCCGCTTTTGATTTTATGATTATTTTGTAAACGAATAGGCTAGAATTTAAAAGATTACGACAAAGGCTGTGACTAGATTATTTTCCTTTAGGTTTATCTTCGGGTGTATATCTTGGTCAGGGTGGTCTTCGACCTGCTCATAAAACACTTGTCATGTGGTTTTGCTTAGTTGGACACCCACAAGAGAATTTGATAAAGATAGGATCTACCTGATTATACCTCGCTATGAAGATGATAGAGTTAAAATAAAAAAGGAAAAAAAAAAAACAACCTCGATAAAAAAAAAGGAAAACTGATAACCATCTTCCGTTATTTATTATTGATTATCACCCTGGGTGGTCGGTGCATACATATCTTACATCAGGTGATGAAGAAGGATTTTTTGACGAGGTATCTCAACGAAATCTTTTTTTCTTTTCTTTCTTTACTTTTTCTTTTTGTTTGCAATATCCTTTCAGCGTGTAGGTGATCATGGCCCTTCATAGATAACTTTTCTGTCCAAACTGAAAATGGAGTATTGCTGTCACATCTGGGCTGGAACTGCCCTATCATCACTATCCAGTCGTAGTTCAACAGTGTTTGCATGCCCTGAATGAATGAATGAATGATTTTCTAGCCGACAGTCAGTTTTCCACTGTTTTTCACCCTACCAAATCCTTCCCCATTGTTTTCCACCCTTAAGAGCCTTTCCCATTTTAACGAACCTACCGTCCGTTTTCCATTATATTCCGCCCTACAAAACCTTTCCCATTTTTTCACCCAACAGTCCGTTTTCGGATTATTTTCCACTCTATAGCATCGTCACCATTTTTTCACCCTCCAACCTCTTTTATCTTTCACCTTACATTCCGTTTCGTATAATATTCCACACTACAGCGCCTTTCCCATATTTTCCACTTCACAGTCCATTTTCCCATTATTTTCCACCCTACAGCACGTCTTCCCATTATTTTCCACCATACCACCCTTTTCTATTTTTCCACCCTACAGATACGTTTTCCCATTATTTTTCACCCTACAGACACGTTTTCCCATTATTTTTCACCCTCCAACACGTTTTCCCATTATTTTTCACCAT